TTCGCATTGCGTGCAAACGACGTGAGTTCAAGTCCTGAGTGGGGGGAAATTAATCTTTTTGAGCATCTCCCTCTTTCTCCTAGGATGTCAGGCCCCACTCAATCCAAATCGGTGTCCTGGTAGGCAGGACCTATGCGTCATGTCTCCTCCTCACCATCAGCTTTCCTCACCCCGTGACTGTAGTCTTCATACATCTTTAATATACCATCATATTATCTTTATAACGCTTCTTGAAAACATCCTGGCTGCTGAAAGAGAAAATGTTTTCTGTGAGGCGGTAAAAGAGGAATGGCAACGAAAAAGATAACAATATATCTAAAATTGATATTCTGTTATTTTCATTGCTGCTGTGGTTGCTTTTTGTGGTTTTCGTCCTCATTGTTTTTGAAGATTAAACGATCAACTAGATACAATGGGGGTCTTTCTGGAGTCAGACGCCAGTGCTCCGCCCCGCTTTTTAAAGATATCGGACCGAGAAATTAATATTGTTTCATAAAAGAGGAGGAAAACAAATCGTCCACGCAGACAAACCTCAAGCTTTTGTGCTTCTAAAATTGATGACTAGAGTACACTAGAGACCGACTGGGTTATGGCTATCACCATCTGATGCTTGGAGCTATTGTACATCTCTTACTACAAGAAACCCAGATGCTGATAACAACGATTAAATGCTTTTAAAGCTTGCTTTGGGGGGACTGAGAAAACCCTGAACGTTCAAAGTACGCACATAAATTTATCCTAAAAGTAAACTTTTAGATAGGAAATCTTTCGGCAGGTCTTATGTGTCTTTTTTATGTTCCAAATCAAAAGGATCTGGGTTTATGTGGGATTATGTGACACGGGCGCCTGCATTGGCTAACGATAAACAAGCCTTGATTGTTCCGATAAAAAGATTGAAATGATGACTTTTTATTTGTTACAATGATTTTCTGTCCATATTTTGCTTTATTGTTTTCAAAATTAAATGTACTTCAGCTTAATGCGTAGCCAATTTTTGCAGTGTTTTTGTTGTTTTATATTGTCTTCTTGTGATGTTGATTTACAAGTGTTAAAAGTTTTATACAAGTTGAAAAGTTAGCTTGTAACACACATAGAAAATATAAAAAAGTGAACTTTAGATACACACGGAAACAAACATTACAACTGGACGTTTTTCCTTGTACGTGCTTTTGACACGTCTTCTCTCTCTCTCTCTGTCTCTCTCTGTCTCTCTCTCTCTCTCTCTCTCTCTCTCTCTCTTTCTCTCTCTCTCTCTCTCTGTGTGTCTCTCTCTCTCCCCCTCCTCTCTCTCCCTCTTCTCTCTTTCACTTTCTCTCCCATTCCCTTTATATCCCCTCTCCCTCTCTCCCTTACACACAGACTCTCCTTTTCTCTCTTTCTTTCTCTCTCTCTCTTTCACTTTCCAATTTTCACTCACCCTTATCTCTCTATCTCTCTCTCACACACACAAACACACATTATATATCTCCATTCAACTTCCCCATTATGTCACTCTATCCTCTTCTCTTTACGGGGGTAAATTTAAGGATTTTACCATCTCCCAAACCAATATTTATACGTCTTTAGCCAACTCCTTGTCCCCGTCTTTCTCTCTATCATGCATACTGACACACAAAATAAATATACACACACAAATACTCCCCCCCCCCACAC